GTTATCCTACCCCATAATTGGCCAAAGTTATGGCCAATTAAAATATATTTTTAAAAAGTACTTTTCAAAAGACAAAATATATACTTTTAAAAATTATTTTCAGTAGACAAAAAATATATTTTTAGAAAGTACTTTTTAGAGGATAAATAAATTCACTTTTTCATAAAGTATTTTTTTTTTTGGAGTATATGCTTACTCTTCCAAAAAGACGTATGTTTTAGTACTCATCTTCAAATTGAAAATAAAAATATACTTCTAGAAATTACATTTTAGAAGTATATATTTTAATAATCACAACACAATTTTAGAGGGTAATAACGAAAACTATTGTTTCTAATTGATAATTTCTTACCCTCCTTTCTTACCTTAGATTTTGATGAAAAGGTGTGATTTCACGTCTTCAAACGTTCCTCAAAGTTCTCCTTTATGGTCTCATTTACATGCCCTTTATCAAATATTAGAAGCAAAACAAGGAAATTGAAGCTTATGAGTGTAACCCTATTACTTACTCTAAGTTAATCAAACTCAAAACTAACCATTAATACCAAAATGGATTTAATGGTAATGTATTGTCATATAATTTTTTTTTACATTATTGATCAATAAAAAATTACTATTAATATAAATTTTAAGATAATTATTATAAAAGTCAATAAATTTGTAAAGGGATCTTAGAGTTTGTTAGTGATTAGTTTTATTTTCTATTAATTTGTTTTGACTTCCCAAGCTTATGTATAGCCTCATCCTCTCTTGTAAACATTCATATTAGAATTACATTCAGATTTTATATTCTCTCTCTGTTTTTCCCTTTCTCTCTTTTCCTCCACTTATCCGCTGCAACTCTAAAACCTTTATGGTATCAAGAGCCTTTTGATCTTAAAATCAATGACTTCAATTACCTAGTCCTCATCCCTCCCTTTAACAATGATTCCAGTTTCCATAAAATTGGATGATGAAAATTTCTTAATCTGGAACATGCAAGCATTAGGAACGATTCGAGCACATAAATTGCAAAAGTTTCTTGATCAAGCATCCAAAGGAGGCATGCATGACAGGTTCAAAAGCGATGACGATAAGATCTCCAGTACAATCTCAGATGCATACGCCTTGTGGGATCAACAAGACCAAATGATCTTTACCTGACTCTTGGCATCTATGTCTCCTAATCTTCATACAAGAATGGTCGGTTGCGAGCACGCATTTTAGATTTGGAACACGTTGCAAGTTTACTTTAAATCATAGACTCATGCAAAGGTGAATTAGTTAAAAATGCAACTCAAAGGTATCAAGAAATCTACCTCTTTGAGTGAATATCTTCTTTCTATCAAGAAAATCGTGGATACCCTAGCCTTTGTAGATTCCCCTATTGATTCCTTTGAACATATTTCAATTATTCTTGTTGGTCTTCCTAGTGAATATAACCCTCTTGTCACATCTATAATCTCTAGAACTGATCCTTACACTGTAACTGAAATCGAAACCCTCCTAGCCACTCTTGAAAATAGACTAGAAAGACAAAAGAAAGAAGAGCATGATGCCTTTACTATGCAGAACATACAAGCCAATCTTTCTCAGATTCATAGTAGATTTGGCAGACATCAAGGTTGAAGGTTCAAGGTAGAGGAAACACAAATTACAGAGGCAACAATTTTATAGGGCGTGGCAGGAGTTTTGGTAAAAATAATAACAATGGTGGCAGGAATTTTAACAATAAACCACAATGCCAAATTTGTAGCAAACCTAGGCACACAGTTCTTTTTTGCTATCAGCGATTCAACCCAAGTTATCAAAAAAGTCTCTCTTCTAGTACTCAGACTCAATACTCAAATAGTCAGAATACTGCTATGATGACAAAAAATTCTTTTGATACACAATCCAATATCTCCACACACATGGCAGTACCTGAAACTCTCTATGACCCAGATACGGGTGCAACAAATCATGTAACGCCAGACTCCACAAATCTGCAAGGTAAGGTGCCTTATATTGGAGACTCAAAAAATGAAGATGGCAAATGGAGAAACCTCTTCCATAAAATGTATAGGTATCTCTTTCTTTTTTACTCCTAAGTTATTACATGTACCTGCTATAACAAAGAATTTTCTCAGTGTTTCCCAATTTGCTAGGGACAACAATGTCTTTTTTGAGTTTTTTCCTGACATGTGCTGTATCAAATCTCAGGAAACTAGGAAACTCCTGCTCTCGAGGGAAAATTAAGACATGGACTTTATGCATTTGATGATATTTCTCTTACTACATCTCCTTGTACATTTGTTCCTACTAACGTAGCTTCATGTAATTCTATTTCATATAGTATCTCATTTGATAATAGTACTAATGGTCCTACCAAATTGAGTTTGTACAAACTATGACACTCCAGATTAGGGCATGCCAATTACAAAATAATTCAACATGTTTTGCATAATTCTAATATTTATGTGCCTAGAAATTATACTTTCAGTGTATGTAAACATGTTGCTATGGTAAATCTCATAATCTGCCCGTTTATTCTTCTAAGACAACATATAATAAACCTTTGCAACTAGTTTTCTTTGATACATGGGGACCTGCACCTATACCTTCATCAAATGGCAACAAGTATTATATCCATTTTCTTGATGCTTATTCCAAATATACATGGATTTATCTAATCCAATTTAAATCTCAAGCTCTTTCATGTTTTATCCATTTTAAGAAAATGATTGTCAATTAGATTTGAAAATCAAATGCTTACAAACATATGGTGGCAAAGAATATACTGCTTTTTCAAGTTTCCTAAATGAGCATGGCATTATACATAGGCTTAGTTGCCACTACACTCATGAACAAAATGGGGCAGCTGAAAGAAAACATAGGCATATTGTTGAAGTAGGTTTATCCATGCTTGCAAATGCATCTACGCCTCTAAAGTTCTCTGTTTTTCCCTTTCTCTCTTTTCCTCCACTTATCCGCTGCAACTCTAAAACCTTTATGGTATCAAGAGCCTTTTGATCTTAAAATCAATGACTTCAATTACCTAGTCCTCATCCCTCCCTTTAACAATGATTCCAGTTTCCATAAAATTGGATGATGAAAATTTCTTAATCTGGAACATGCAAGCATTAGGAACGATTCGAGCACATAAATTGCAAAAGTTTCTTGATCAAGCATCCAAAGGAGGCATGCATGACAGGTTCAAAAGCGATGACGATAAGATCTCCAGTACAATCTCAGATGCATACGCCTTGTGGGATCAACAAGACCAAATGATCTTTACCTGACTCTTGGCATCTATGTCTCCTAATCTTCATACAAGAATGGTCGGTTGCGAGCACGCATTTTAGATTTGGAACACGTTGCAAGTTTACTTTAAATCATAGACTCATGCAAAGGTGAATTAGTTAAAAATGCAACTCAAAGGTATCAAGAAATCTACCTCTTTGAGTGAATATCTTCTTTCTATCAAGAAAATCGTGGATACCCTAGCCTTTGTAGATTCCCCTATTGATTCCTTTGAACATATTTTGTTTATAAAAAAATTATTAAATCAGTATAATTAAAATCTCTATATAAAAAAAATACCATACACACTTCTTCCCCCCTATTCCACTCTATCAAAATAAAGATACATTAATGATTGACTGTTTTTTTTAAATTGTTTTACCAAACATAAGAATTTAACATTTTTCTACCTTCGAAATTTAGGAAACTAAAGTTAAATAAATAAAAAATTCTCCTACCAATTCATTAAGATTGATTTTTATTTGATTAATAGAATAATTTTTTTACAAAGATAATGCGTGCCTATTGAACTAAACAAAAAGCCTCTTAAAAAAATATGGGTTATGTTTAACAAAATGTAATCGAAAGGTTATTGTTTTTTTTAACCATATTACCAATGCAAAATATTTATTGATCTCCTTAAAAAAAATTGTTCAGTTATCTTTAATGGAGTTCTATCTACACTTTTATAATTACAAGATTCGAATCAAGATTTTCATTAAGGAAATAATTAAAGTTGTAGTATACAATAAATTAAAAATTAAACATGCAATATTTTTTTTATATTAAATGTTTAAAAAGTTAAATAAATATTTTAAGAATAAGAATGAAATAAAACATAAGAAGGCAGTTTCAACTAAGCTTTTCTATTTAAAACTCGAACTAAAACCTTGATTAAAAAATAATTAAACGTGTAATATAAAATAAATAAACAATTAAACATGTAATATAAAAAAATTAAAAATTAAATAACTATTTTAAGGATAAAATAATATTTGACAAACAAAACTTAAAAAAAAATTAATAATAAAATAATATTTAAAACAAAACTTTAAAAAAAAATTAAAAAAATTAAAGACTAGCTTCCCAAGCAATATTACAAAAGCATTGTTATAATCTCAAGCGTGTGGTTCAGCGGTAAGGATTGATCCATGCTTAAGCAAGATCAGGGATTCGAATCCTGCCTTGTGTATGCAGTCGCGTTAAATTTTGTGGCTATTTATCCCATATGTAGCGAGAAGACTAGTTACGTTTATCGGTGATAGATACTCCAGGAACGAAAAAAAAAAATATAAGCATTGTTATATCCTTCAAACGATCGAATCAGTTTCCGAATAATTAAAATATTAATATTTTTTAATAAATTTATTATAAAATAATTATTTAATTTAATATTTTATTATTTAAATTAATTTTTTAATAATTCAGAACAAGTTTCGGTCCTTTGATCGGGAACACCAGTATTTTTCTTGTTACATAGGTTTCGTGAAAATAGAAAGAGATGATAGCTTTTTAAATTTCCCACAATCCACTCCATTTATCGTTCTTGGCTCGTCACTAATCAAACCATGGAAGAAAGAGAATAAAGTGAATAAACCCTTTTTGAAATAATTGAGCCACCCGTTGCACTCAAAATGTACGATAGCAGAATTGAGATTATTGAACCGAAATCAACGGTCCAAATATGCAACGATCATGTTATATTCTTTTCTATCTTTATAAATAAAAAAACATACTTAAAACTTCCTAGTACAGGAATATGGTCGTACTTTGTTTGCTGTGCTTAAACACTAGAAAGCCAACTCAAACCGCACCATTCTTCAAACTCTGAAAGTAAGCTTCGCTACTAAGCAAACTCAACACCGCACCACTCTTGGAACTCTGAAAGTGAAAATGTCTTTCTCGCCTTCGCCTTCAAAATCTCGTCGTCCTCAAATTCTCGCTAATTGCTCTCCGAATCTCCTCAAACAAATGCAACAAGATACCTGCTACATATGTAAACAAGTTGGACATTGGTCTTGGTTCTGTCCTTACAAATCCCCCACTAAGCCCGTTTCGCCCGAGCCCAAGCCCAAGCCCAAGCCCGATTCCCCAGTTTCCTCCGACGCCATACAGTGCCGTTGTGGCCATGGCGCTTGCGAAGTCAAAACCTCACGGAGTGGCAGGAACTTCTATGCCTGCCCCATCAAAAGGGTATGCTTCCAATCCAACACTCTCAAGTTTCCTTTTTTTTAACCTTTCATGATTGTTGTTATTATTTTGATGATCATGATGATTAGGGGATAAAATGTAAGGATTTTGTGAAGTGGTGCGATGATCCTATTGATGAGAGAGATTTACAGCCTCCACCGTTCAAGTACCCTGTGTGTGCGTGTGAGGCCGGAGTGTGTAGAAGGGTTATGGGTACTGAGAGCCACGATGCCTTTAAGTACTATTTTACTTGCCCTTTTAGACAGGTATCATATCACCTTCATTTTCTGATTGCTATTATTGTGCTTGTTTTTTAGGGAAAGGTTTATGTTTAGTACCAAAAAAAAAGTCTGAATTGTATGATAGTTATGTCCTGTTGAATGTGGCAATGTCAGATTATGTATAGCAATTAGCAAGTACAAGTAGTATCATGAGTTTTATGGATCATTCTCGGGTCTAATTATTGTCAAACAGGGTCATGGCTCTTGTGGGTACCGTGTGTCGGTGGATGAATTGCTCAATAGCAATAGCAGAAACACTGTTCCTATCCAGCAAGATGAATTGCTCAATAACAATAACAGAAACACTGTTCCTACCCGGCAAAGCAGGCAAAGAAGTCTGCATGATTTTTTTGAGGGGTGCCAAAATGATAAAGTTGATGATGAGTTGGGTAAGGAAGATGGTTTGCAAGTACAGATCAAAAGGATAAGAATCACGGACTGTTCTGAGAGTCCTGAGATTTCAGAGAAAGAAGATGCAGGTGCAGCACTAAATAGAGCCAGTTTGAAACGGGTTGATGATGGCGATAGAGAATTTACAAACTCAGTGTCATGGGAGAAAATTGAGGCACAAGCGTTTCTATTTTTGTCTAGTCTATCAGCAACTTCAAGGATCCGTTGGCGACAGATTATGTTTCAGAGGCGCATTTTCTCTGGTGTTTCATTTGGTATTATTTTCTCTTTTTTTCTTTGTTTTTAGAAATATATTTCTTTCTTTCATGTTTCCTTTTATTTTTCTGCTTCCACTTTCAGAGCAAAGTTACATCATTTTGATTGGTATTCCTTGATTCTTTACAAATTCGATTATAGGTCCGTGCAATTATCTCTTTAAAGTAATGCTGCTACTTTTTTAGTTATGGACCACAGTAGTAATAGTCTATACATAATTACTTATAGGAAAGAAACCCTTTAGACTTGCTCTGTGTGTTTCTTGTTCATCTGCATCAACTCATTATTAAATTTATCTCAAGTTACGATAGATTTTAGTGGAACTTAAGAATTTTAAATGTGTTAATGTTAGGCCTCTTATAAGTAAATATTATAAGAGGAGAGCCAAGACTTAGGTTTTATAATAGGACTGAATTGTTTTAGCAGTTATTGTTATTTTAATTAGGCACTGGGTGCTATTAGTGGGGGCAAGCGTAACTGCCTCTAGGCAGTTATTAGCAGAATAAAAATAGCAGAAGAAGCAGGACAAAGGTTAGGCAGTTTTTTAGTGGTGTTGGGAAGGGAGAGACCAAGCTCTCAAACATCTTGTGAGAGAACCTTTGTACTCAAATCAGTTTACTAAATTTCCTATGTAATTTGTAATTCTGTAACAGTTAAATTGAATAAAATTCAGTCCTTATTCTCATACCAGTTGGTGACTATCAGTTAATTAAGTTACATATAATACCTTTTCTCTTGATCGTGCAAATTAAGCTTTGACACTAGTTTAAGCATATTCAATTAGAAAACTTTATCTGAGAGAGATCATGTGTGAAATTCTTCTTGATCTTATTACAGGATCTTGTCCAATGGGTTGGCTAGGCCGCCTTCTTTTCTTCTATCCAACACGAAGCTTGAAAATCCCCGCACCACAACCATTTTTCTGTTGTGAGTATGATTTCATTAGTTTGTGTTTATGAGTCTGTTTGGATATGATCTAGAAGAGCTTTGGAGAGCTTCTCTACTATAAACTAAGAGTACTTTTAAGTAGAAAAGCTCTTAAAAATACTTCTAGGCTTGTATCTAAACATGTTGTATTTGTATATCCACTTGATTTAGAATTATTTAGGTTGATTGTCTCCTATAATTATAGGTATCTTCCCATCCTATGATCCAATATTTGTTCCTAAACATACAAGTATGCCTGATTGTCCTAATGAGTTCAACCAACATGCTATTAGCGTTGTCCCACTTTCAACTGGTTGCCTTACTGAGGTTTCTGGAGACGTAGTGAGTCCCAGTAAATCACAAGATGAAAGAAAGTCAATAATGTCAAAGGCACAAAGGCATAGAGAAGTGGTTTTGTTTACACAACAACGACTTCTTAGCGATCTAGAGACCATGGATCTGTGCGAGCATGAGTCCATGAGAGAGGCAGCAGAGTTCACTTTTGGAATAATAAAAAATTTAGGAGTTGATTATAAACAATTTTCTGATCATGTCTTGGACTATATCAATTTTGTATCATCAATTGCAGAAATAGACAGGTGCATGGAAAATTCCCTTACTATGGAGGAGGACAATAGACTCTTTGAGGAGCAGAAAATGAGATTTGCTCAACTCCAAGATGACCATGCAAAAGCTGAAGCCTTGCTTGAAGCATTAAATCGGCAAAGACAATTGCTTTGTGAACAGGTCTCTAATCTCAAGGCCATGCTCAATGAAAAGAAAAAACAGTTGGAGTTTTGTGAGTTGGAGACCTTGAAGATAGAGACTCACCTTGGTGATTTGAAAAGGAAAATACTGGAGACTGATTTAACATTGAAGGAAAGAGCTGAGCAAACAGAAGTAGCAAGGAAACTAAGTGAAGAGAGACAAGCAAAGGAAATTGCAGCTAAGGAAATGCTAGAGAAGGCAAAACTTGAACTAGAAAATTAATTACTCCATATTAGTGAGGTGTATGTAGCACAATTTATGTAAATAGTGTATATTTAAGCTCATTTTCTTCCCCCTCCCGAGCTGTGTAGGCTTTTGCTTCTAACATTGGCAAGCTTAATGCATGTAATAATTCATCTTAGAATAATGTTTTTAGATGCTTTCTATGGTAATTCATCGAATCTCTTCTCTTAGCACCTTTTATTTGTTATTTGACCTGCCATGCCTAATGTCTTGACAATTGTGTTTTAAATTGTGGATCGCCTCAAATGATGTGGCTGTAACATCTTGGTTGCAACTGCATTTGGTTGTGATTGCAGTTTTCAACATGATTCCAACCGAGGTTTAAAACTTTGCTCACCACATAGGAAATTGGTCATGTTATGGCATCTTGGCAATCTTAGATTTAACTTCTTTTTTGGTAGTCGTTAATTAAGGAGAAAAAAACTACACTGGTTGTTTTATAGCGAGGGAATACTGTTATCGTGGCGTGGGCAAACCAATAATATATCATTATAATTTTGCATCAATGCCATGTGGGTTTAGAGTTAATGTCATTTCCACATCATGTATAGGCTTAGGCAAATCTTTATATATTTGTATAGGCGAGTTGGTAACCTACTCTTTCTCCGATCATTTTTCGTTAATTTATCTATGTACTAACTTGTAGGGGAAAGAGGTTTATATTTATTCTTTTAGGGAGTTATGAGAGAAAATGGTTATAGTAAACAAATAACTTTTTTTGAAAGATAGTAAATAAATAATTTTGAAAATAGGAAAATGTATTGGGTAATTTTTTTCCCCATAGAGAAAATAGTTTTAGAATTTATAGTGTGTGGTATGAACTTAAGGATAAAAGTGTTTAAAGAGAAAGTGAAAATAAAAAAGGTCTATATAAAAAATATCTCATTTTATTATACAAATAATAAAGGGGATACTTACTTTTGTTCAACATTTTTTTTAGATCATTTTGTCCTTATAACTACCTATAAACTACCTTTTTCTTTTATTTTTTTATTTAACTTATTTTTCTCTCTTCTTTACCTCACCTCAAACATTTCACATTTTTTAAATAATCATCTACTATATTATCATTTTTATTTTATTTTATTTTATTTTTATTTTTTAACAAATAGTGAGACATAAATACTTTTTTTTCCAAGTGAATATAATAATAAAATTAAATTTATATGGTGAATAATAGTGGACATGAAACATTAATAGAAAACCTCTTTTTTAGCTGTTACACTTTTTTGGTATGTTTTTTTGAAAGATAAACAAATGAATGATTCATCTCACGGAAATTGATTTAAATTAAATAATTCTAAATATATTAATTCACTTGTTTGTGTGTTACTTTTTTACTTTCAATGTCTCATTGTATTAATTTTGCTATCATCTTCCAGTTGGAAATTTGATGCTTTATACATTAGTTCACCAAACCTAATGCCACTTCTATTCAATATTGTTCTTATTATAATTTGTAGGTTTTCTAGTAGGGGAAGAAATGTTCTCTATACTCCAATTGCTAACGGTGGAGAAGACACATGTAAAGTCACTTCAATGCTCAAATTAGAGGAGAGTTTAAGTGTAGAATTATGGTTAGAATGATACTCAGTGCCCCATATATTGGTGATTGTTCTTATCTTTAGGCTTATAGATAATGTTGCATGATTTTAAGAAATATTCTTCTTGATAAGCGAAGACATTATTCTTGATAAGTAGAGATATTGTTTTTGATAATGTGATCCAAAACTCTAGGAGATATATGCCATGGAGATATTCTCGTAGCCATTGTAGATGAACTACCTAGGGTTTTGTCTTGTGACATTGATGGTTTGGGGGGCTAGTATGGGAGAGCTTGTGCCTAGCTCGACTTATTCGAGTTGGGCATGAGTTCATCTCAACTTGACCAAGTTAGATAATACATAAGCTCTTTGAGCTCCAAGTTCTTTAGAGAGAAGGAGTTGAGTGAAGTCACCTTTTTGGATTGGAGATGCTAAGTTTTGTTAGCAAGGGCAAGGTACAAAGGTTTCAACTAACTTTGTGGTGGATTCGTTGCAAAAGGTTAGCCAATCTAGTTCAAACTTCTATCAAACCAATGCTCTTAACAACTTTGAAATGGATTTGATGAATATTTGTGGTCCTTGTGAAGGGTTTGGATTTTGCCGAGGTGATGGTAACTTGCTCACTAGCAATCTCAAAATTCAAGTCACGAGAGCTCGAAAGCTGAAAATTGTGCAAGAGCATGAAAACTTGTAATCTTCAAGATGCGAGAGCTCAAAAGCTCATAATTACTCTAAAGCTTAGAAGCTCATAATCATTGAAATGCAAGAGCTTGGAAGCTCAAAATTGCATAAGAGCTCATAAGCTTGTAATCATTAAGCAAGAGCTTAAGAGCTTGTAATCTTCAAGACATGAGATCTTGGAAGCTTATAATTCGTGCTCCAACGTTACTATCAAAATTTGTACGTGCACTTATGGTAGGATTGATATCCTTCATGCTCCAATGCCGATAATGGGGGCAACTGGTACCCTTTAAATAATTGATTAATTTTTATCATCTGGTCAAAGGTTTGGTTGTTCAAATGAAAAAGTATCTTATCAATGAAGCAAATATCATGTGCTTGATTATGATAGTTTGAAATCTTTAGGAGATAATTATGTGAAGATATTCTATTAGGTGAATATAATGTTTTTAATTACGATAATCTAGAAGATATTTATGTCAAAATATCCTGTTAGCTATTAGGAATTAATTGCCTAAGGTTTCACTTTATGATGATGGGTTGGAGGCCTAGTGTGGGTGAGTAGGAGAAAGCTAGATCAACCTAGTCAAGCTGGGTGGTACATAAGCCCCTCGAGCTTTGAGCTCTTTAAAGGAAAATGGGTTATGAGTTGTGCTTAAATTGCTTTATTTCTTGCTTGTGTCAAGTTAAGTTGTTTAGCTTGAAGTTTGAAGAAACTTATAATGCAGATTGAAGCGTGTTGTGCATGCATAAGTGGTTTACATGTTTTGCTAATAATCATTTGTTTTATGTTTGCCAAAGATAGTAAGCTTGTATGTTGTAATAATGATCAATTAGCTTGTACATGTTTAGCTCACTAGCTAGAAGTGATAAGTTTTTAGTAGTGACTAATATGTAGTCATTTAAGATAATAAGCTCAGGTGCTTATAAGTGATTATCTCATAATCGTTAAAATAATAAGCTTGAAGGCTTGTAAATGATAAATTGTAATCATAATGGTGAAGTGGTCAACTTATGATTGTAATTGCAGAGATTACGGAAGCTCGTAGTTGATCAAGTTGTGATCATAAAGAAGAGATAAACTTGTGATGGTTGTGGTTGAAGAGCTCAGAAACTTGAAGTGATCAAATTGTGATCATAATGGTAAAGAGATCATCTTGTGATTTTTTTAGTTCAAGAGCTCTAAAGGTTGTAGATGAATAATTTATGATCATAATGGTAAATGTGAGACCCTACTTCCCCTATTCATTTTTTTTTCTCT